AGTTGCACCCAACATTGCCTAATCCCTTAGGTCCAGTACTGTAGAATAGCGGACCGGAAATAGTTCGTTATTATTATTTCGACAGTGAAAGGTTAATCATGGAAGTGAAACTCTAAAATACCCAAAAAAAATATTGGGATATTTATGTAGATCACACAGTTTGTGAAATTGTTCCTGTATAATAAGCAATGACTGAATCGACATTTTCTTCTTGCTATATTTTCAAAAAACGGATCAAGAAGGTTGTAATGTTAGCAATTTCGATGGACTTTCATGGATTCCAATTTCGGCATATAATATGTGATACTGATATCACGTAGCGCGGAAATATTATTTCACCTCTAGTGTGTTCATTTCATTTAAATCAAAGATCATCTAGCCGGAGCGGCTAAAAAACCACATGATAGAAAAAACTCGTACGCGCCAGTTCTAAAAAACTTTAAAACAAACAACCGTATACCTGGGGACGAGAAGCAGGCGGGGGTGGTTTAAAGCTTTAAAGGGCCAGAAAGCACCTAACTTCTTTCTACCTTCTTTTCGATGAAGGATGAACTAACAGTACAGATGTCAGTACAACAACTAGAAAATTGATAAAACTTTCTATAATAGTCGAAATATTTCAGAATTTATTATAATGAAAAAATGTTTGCTTTCCAAAAGTAATGGCTTTTTTCTGCAGTATAATATTTTATAAAAGACATTTTACTCGTTGTCTTAACTCATCGTAATAATTTTAGTTGAACGTTCTTCCTCAAATTCTTTGAACTCGTTATTAAATAATTGAAGGAAGAGATGCATTATTATCTTAACTTCATTTTAAAAACTTGTCTGATACTTTACTGCACAATGAGGCACACGAAAATTTTTATTATCTGAAGACTGAATGGACACGTAAATCTACTCTTTTCTATCTTTAGGCAAGATGGGTCTAACCTTGCCCTTTTTAACTCCTATTTCTGCTTATAATATGTTTACCTCTTCATAGAGCATTCTGTTCTCCTACTTTCTCAAATACCTCCTCATTTTCAACATCATATAACACCACATTTCAAAATCTTATCACATTTTCTGTTCCTCCCCGCCGATTTTCCACATTTCGCACCCATACAATTCCGTGCTCCAATCTTAGTTTTAATAAAAGATTATCTTTTTCGAATTCGCTATTCTTTGTTTTGTATCTCTAGTGTCACGAGTTATCTGACTCCCTTACTAGCGACTTTTTTTTCATCCAAATCTGAAATTTTATAGACCTGCAAAATGTTATGTCGTTATTACATTATAATAAGGGTTTCAATTTTTTGTTTTGTTTACGAAATTTTTAATAATGCGAAGTTCTTCCTGTCTATCTTTTTGTCTATATACAATGATTTTTCTTACGATTTGACTGATCAACATAGAGCAAGGATGTCAATCGACTTGGAAGTCCAGAATTGCCAAAAAATTGGCTAGAAAAATTAACAAGCATTTTCATATTTTAGGAAAATAATGTGAATATTATAAATGATTTATGAAATTTTGATTTTAATTGAGTTTAAGAAAATAAGGTAACTTGTTGATTCTATTTAAGTAGATACCCTATATGTATAGTGCACATATTTTTTAGTAATAATTAATTGAAATGTAGGTACCTACTTCTGGTTATAATTTTGATTTGTCTATTAGATCGTAAGTAACAAGTAATCACTTAGCATATTTATAAATATTCAATAAAGTGAAATTTTGGATATTTTACTGTTTTTACTATCTATTATATCCAATGTTTGTGAGTGTATGAACCAGTAACATTTCCTAAAAATTTCGTTATTAACCTTCAACCTACGAATTCAGAACCTTGTTCTTGCTTATTCAATAACATAACGTACTTTAACACGTTTTACACAAAAAGATATTTTTTTATATGGGACCAGTTTGGCAACTTTTTTTCACCTTCTGTAACGACAACGTTCAAGGTGGTAAAATAGTTCATCCCGGTACGGGACGACGGTCTTAGTTCTCATAGAAAATAGAAAGGGTTGGGGTGTCAACGGATTAATTCAACGGTGGGAATGGTGTTACGAAAACTAAACTAACCGAACAAGGCATCACTCAAAATCAAAATCTCATCTTGAAGTTTTTGCGTTAAGAATAATAAACAAATTCAGATAGTGTATTGGATGTGTCGACTTCCTTAGGCGTTTATCAATTTCGACCTAATTACTTAAGCTAGTAGTCATATTGTAATGTTCGTGGGTTTAACAAATTAAATTTTAAGACTCACAACGACAAAAACTATTTATTTACACTAATTACTATTAAACTTAAAAACACTATTAAATTATTACTAAACTTAGGTAATTACTATATTTATTTACACTACTGTTACTATTCACTGTTCTATTTATTTCACTTCTGCAACGGTCAATTTATTTCTACTTTTTCTTCGGCGATCGTCTCTTCCTTTTTATACTCCCTTGCCTCCTTTCGAGAACATTCTCCAGCCGTCCAGAGAAGTCTCGTTTTCTTTGATTTAATTAATTTCTTTCGCGGAACGCAGGTACAACACACACGTACAGATACGGCGCACATGAAGAAAAGCGCCCGCGGCTAGTCGGCGAATCGATAAGCCGCTCACACACACGTATGCCCGATCGCACACAATCACGCTCGTGGTCGCTACAATATAAATTAGAGATGCACTAGATGACTGGGTACCCGGCAAAACCACTACGATTAATGGTTGGTGTCCTAGTTCTGACGGGCTTTCCATTGAATTCTACAGAAAATAAGTCCCTGACCCAAGATTAATCAGCCAAAGGTAATACAGTGGATTTCGGGTATATCGTCAGCGTAGGGACCACTGTAATTTCGTCGTCATATCCAGAAGTCGTTACATAGGCAAAGTTAAAGAAGATACAGACACACACTGTTTTTCAATTTTGAAACAATTTTCGCCTTTTTTTAACAGTAAATGTACATCTGGAAGTCACACTTATTCAAAAGTTTAGTAAACACAGTTGCTACTCAGAGACAACGTAAAGGTCACCACATTTGTTGACTATCTGTGTGAATGTAAACAAAAGATAAGAAAGCTCTTTGTGTCTTTAGCCAGCGACTCCGGTCGCTATATCTGCATGGGATTACTAGGGATTTGTTACAAATGATTCATTAAAAACAGTCGTTACACCCGAACTCGGCGTTACATCCGAAGTCGCTATAGCCACATGAATTTTGTATTAAAGTGTGCTTTAAAATCAAGGGACTTACATATGACGTCGCTATGGCATAATGGTCGCTATAATCAGGGTCGTAATACATGAAATCCACTGTATAACCAACTTTGGTCCAGGTCTGGGATAGAGAAAACTACCCATTCTTGGTAAATCAATTGTATGCCTAACTTGGTCCAACTTTGACTAAACGGCAACCTAATGTTGGGTCAAAGTTCACCGTATCGTCAACTCTGGCAGTTCCTATATGGGATAAATTAGCGAATGAGAGCTAAGTGGTACCCAGCGGCATGACCTAAAGATTTAGATTGTAGACCATTGCTCAGCATTCGGGAGAACACCGGTTCAATTCCGAGTGTGCATCTGCACTGGTACAAATTTTTCTGTGGTTTCCTTGGATCACTTAGGCAAATGCTGGGGTGGTAGAGATGTGTAAAATGGTTTTTTAAATGTATTTAAATACAAAATGCAAATACGTATTTGATTTGTTATTTCAAATGTAAAATACAAAATACATTTCCCTTTTGTATTTTAAATGCTAAATGCAAAATACGTATTTTCAAAATACTTTTTACAAATAAATACTATTTTGTAGTACCTATTTAATTTTTTACATCTCTTAAATATAAAATATGTTTTAAGGAAACCTTTCAGGCATTTTAAATATTGGAGTTTTTCTAAACTAATGGTGGTATTTGCACTATATCATCAGCTACAAAGACTGAGTATGATTTATATTATTCTGTTGGAAATGATTGAGATATAGTTTTTCTACCTTTATGTTATAGTTTCTTCAGTTCAACAACAANGTAATAGTGGTGTTTGCACTATACCACCAGCTGGGAAGTATGATTTATATTTTTCTGTTTGAAGTGGTTGAGATATAGTTTTTCTATCTTTATGTTACAGTTTATTCAGTTTAGCAACAAATAAATCTTCTATATGTTTCCTTATTTGCCTTTATCATCTGTTTTAATTGGAAAAAAACACTGATGTCAAAATAGTTTGTTTACCGTAAAAGATCAGAGCCAAAATAGGGTTCCAAATAATTTTATTGATGTAAAATCAACATCAATCATTTTATATAAAAATATTTACAACCCCATTTTGTTTCCGATCTTTTACACATTATAATAAGATAAAGAAAATGAATCCATAGTTTCCTTAGCTTTGGGTCCATCTAATAAGTGAAGTATTTCGAATCGTTTTCTAAGAATTTTGGATTATAATCATTTATTAGCACACCACAATATCTTGTAGTTTTCAGTTTTACACAGCTGGTGTATTTCAATTCGATATTATTTTGCGGGCTGTTTTGTCGTAATTCATAGAATTTCCTAGTTCCTTGGTAAAGGCACGATAAGTGGTAATTTGGCAGGTGCTGATATCAATTTGGAACTTCAAAATTCCATGGACCTTGACATTGAACCCGGAAAACAATATCGATCCAATATTTTAGATTATCCATTTCCAAGGAGTTGATAATTCTTTGGGCTCTCTTCAGCTAAATTTTTAAGCTTCTATTACTTTTAAAAGTCAATGTGAGCAACTTTCATTGATCATTTTATATAATATTTGATCGCTGATACTAGCTGATACGGCAAAAATTTATTTTGCATTTTACAAATAGAAAAGTATTTTAAATAAAATACAAAATGCTTTTCTCAAAAAAGTATTTAAATGCAAGATAAAAATAGGTATTTTTTATAAACTGATCAATGATATAGGGCCTTAAAAATTCCTTTTTCATGTTTCATTCCTTTTTTTTATTCTACATTTTTTCTTTTGTTTCAGAGCCCTCATTAGTTCAAACACCGCCGTCGCTGATCGCAGCAGCCTGCATTTGTTCAGCAATTCGTGGTTTGAAATTATCATCCGATAATCAAGCCACAAGAGACGTATGTTACATACTTAATTTAGATCCAATTTCCCTAGAGCTTTTAGTTCGTTTCGTAGATCAGATTGTTGAAAAAGTCGTTCCACAAAAACCCAAACCAAACCCAAACGACACCGCTAAAGGTGTTTCAAATAACGGATTCGAAAGTCCGAACTACAAACAACCTGAAACACCCACCGAAGTTGAAAATGTTTATTTTTAACACGTTTCCAAAACCGAACCTCTATTTTTCATGTTTTTCTCCAAAGATAAGTTTGTTTTTTGTTTTTCTTGTCATATTTTTAGTTGATCTTATATTTTATTTTAAATATCTTCTAGTGAAATTGTTATAGGCTGCTAAGCTTTAGCTTCAAATAAAAAAAAAGGAGTAGGCGTTACTTCAGTTACCAAACTTACCAAATGTATTACTATACGTATACAAACTCAATTCTTATTAAATCGGTAGTTAAAACAACGACTTTGAAACAATAACGCATCTAATATTTCGGATGTTTATAACACAGAGATATAAGTAATGGCATTGGAGATTTAGAAAAAAAAAGTGACTGACTCGGGTCATTGCATCTTTGTTGAATCTCTATGGCAACTGTTTGTGAAAGACAGGGATAGGGGACCTTTTTCATTTACTCTTTCTTTAGCTAACACTGCATACTCATCTGGGTGGCGTGCCCCGTTCTTTTATATCTATATCTCTGTGGTTTAACGTACGTTTGTTTTCGCTTAGCATCCTTAATAAAGTCACTAGATTTCCATGTTTATCGTTTGCGTTTGGTGTTTTTGTTGAATAGTCGATATATTTGATTTTATAAAAAATAACACTTTTTGCCACCAACGTTGTGTCGATAAGATTCGTGATCACCGGTGAATGTACATACATATAATAATCTGTACAATATTATTTACTGAGTGTGTGTAGTCGAAGTTTGCATTGTATTAAACGAACTTGCACTCAAACAAATGAAAATGGGTGTAAGATTTATCACGAGAAACAATGCATGCTTTTATAGTTATTATAGTTAAGTTCAAAAGCGTCGTTTACATTTAGTGTAAATAATGATCTCAAACCTTACTAAAAGTATTAATTAGTCCGGGCGGTATTGGCGCATTTGTGGAAAAACATTTCGCGTAAGCGTTTCGTATATAACACCCAAGTAACCTTTTTCATCTAAAACTGCCAATTACGTCGCGCAAAATGCCTAAAAGTAAATACAATAAATAAAGTAAAAGATTTTTATTATTTTTCTTCATTTTATAAAAAACAATGCCACGGGACACGTTATTTAACCCTCTCCCCCCTTTAGCGCACCTTGACGTTTTACACGATCTCCCTCCCACTAAATTTCGTTACCTAATACTTAAAGAGCCCGTAAGTCACCATTTATTAAATGGATTAATTTATTTATAAAAAAACGAAATAGAAGAATTGTCAAAATAGTAATAATTTTCGAATTATAATTTTTTAAAAATATAATTACAGTTTTTTCCATGGTTTTAAAAATTTAAAATATGCTTATTTTCTTCACTAAAAGTCTTCTTTTTAACTGGTATATTAAATTTTAAAAAATTCGCTTAAATTAATTATCAAAAAATGGAAAAATCTTTTTACGTTGAAATTACTCAAAATCTTTTTACTAAAAATAAACCAGAAGATGTGAAAAAATTTATTCCGATTAAGAAAACCAATTTTTGTTCTTGTATAAACAACATCTGATCGAATTATCAGAAATTTACATCATTATCACAAGGGAACCCCCCCTGAATGCGATCGTATAAAAATAGAATAGTAATAGTTTTACCACGAACGCGCCATTAATGTTCGAATTAAAATGCCATACGAATAAATATACTTTACGGAATAAATAATATAAATACCTAATATAAGTGTAGAGATACATATATGATCTCATGTAGAGCACTTTAAAGTGCCTTGCGAAAAAAAAAATACCGAAATGGGTCTGTTATAAGAATTTACGGACTGAAAAACAAAAAGTTCATATTTATACTATCGATATAGAGTATTTCCTAATTATATTAAGGGTGCTCACACACTCGACCACCGAAAGCTCAAAATCATGTCACAACTATTACCTCTAACTTGATCTTGTTGTCTGACGATCAGTTGATATATATCAATTCGATATTTATTTGCGGGCTGTTTTGTCGTAATTCATAGAATTTCGTAGTTCTTTGGTAAAGGTACGATAAATGGTAATTTGGCAGGTACTGATATCAATTTGGAACTTCAAAATTCCATGGACATGACATTAAACCCGGAAAACAATATCGACCGAATATTTTAGATTATCCATTTCCAAGGAATTTAGATTTTTTTAGGCTCTTTTCAGTTAATTTTCTAAGCTTCTATTACCTTCAATGACCAATGTGAGCAACTTTCATTCATCATTTTGTATAATGTTTGATCGGTAATACTAGCACGTTAAAAATTTATTTTGCATTTTACAAATAGAAAATAAAAGAATAGTATCTACATTATGTATCGAGGGAAGAAACAGGGTTATTTCAGACTGCATATGAATTGCCACCCGATCCTAAGGCGAGGGTGGCAAACATGCAGTCTGAGACAACCCTGTTTCTTCCCGAGGTACGTATACAATTTTTTGTCATGTTTGTGCGGAAAGCTCGTTATTAAATTGATAGTTGGCGAAATAAGAGTAAATGATTTAGAGGTTAGAAAGACACTGTCACTGAACAACTGATTTCTGCGCATGCCCATAAACTTCAGCGCATGCGCTCAAAAGACGAATTTCATTGCCTCCCGACTAAAACACGGCTGAAAAGAGGCCATTTCTTCCCTATTTAATAGCACGCAAAACGAGCTTTCCGCGCTAACATGACAAAAAAATGCTTTTCTCAAAAAAGTATTTGAATGCAAAATAAAAATAGGTAATTTTAATTTTGTATTTTCATTTTAAATGAAAGTATTTCAAATAAATCACATCTCTGGTAATATTCCATAGGTCATAACTGACTTTAGCTATTCCCTCTAACTTGATCTTATTGTCTGACGAGCAGTTCCGCTGGTCTATCCATATGTTCCCTGTTAAATAAAAAATGCGATCTACAGGAGTGTTACTGATCGGTATTGATATTTTGAATTTTCGTTTTGAATTTTTAATTAAAAGTGGCAACCACCAATGTCTTACAACAGCATCTGGTGGCGACAATTAGTAGTGGAGTGTGCGAGCAGCCTTAGTATACATGCCACAAAAAAATTTTTTAATAAATAGATAACAAGTTAATTTAAATTTTCTGATTGTACAAATTATAAAAAGTGTACATCTCAAGTTAATGATTAATTATTTCGGTAATGAACAAGCTTACATACACCAGTTCCTGCCACTTCTCATGGTACGACCAAATTAAAGTTGGTTTAACCATTACCTTTATACCAATGTTAAAAACAAAAGCAAAAAAAATGTTTTTCATAAGCAAAAGTTGTTTACGAAAAGTGCAACGTTTTGCTTATTCTAAGAATCGCTTAATTAAATGTAAAAATAAAAAACAATATTTAACATCTGAATTAACTACCTTCATAACAAAATATATATATAGTGTTTACATTTTAACTCGACAAGAGAAAGTTTTGGTTTCTTTCTTAGATAAGTCACATGTAAATTGTTAAATTGACTTGAAAAAACAATGTTACATGTATGACTGCATCCCAAATGTCGACCCATGACTGGTACACTTGACACAAGGCATTAATTATTATAGGAGGTATATAAGACACGTTTAGTAGTAAGTTATTTCATCTGTGATTTAATATTAATTCTTATTAAGAAAAAAAATTACTACTGTACATTCCCTTGTAAAATTAACTTTGGTTTTTCTTCTGTTTTTTTTATCTAGTCTTATTTATTTATTATTTTACGAGTACCTAGTGTTAAGTTACCCCGGCACCTATACATACATATTACATACCTATATATGTATATATTCATACCTTTTTGCCTTACTGATACTTACGTTTTATAATCATTTTAAGTAGCGGCATTGTTGGATAAAAAAAATTAGCGATTGTTAGTTGATTGACGCGTTTTCGATGATTTACAGTTTACATACAAATATTTACGGTTAAAGTTATAAAAAAGATATTTAGATAAACCGAAATGGGTCTATTAAATCCTATTGCATTGTTACATACGTAGTAGTTATGATGTAAGGAGCTTGAACCAAAGTTTGTTTTGCTTATTTTTAAGTTACGTATAAGTTTCAAGGTTTAGTTCTTTAAGATTTTTTTGTATGTTTTACTTCTTTTACATAAATATAAGTACCTTTATGTATAAATAAAACGTTTTTTAAAGTTTTTTTATAAAGTATTGTTTAATTTATACATAACTACGTTAGACACTCGATGGTGTGAACTGAAAAGAACAACAGTTGTTCAATGCTATAAATTATTTAATATTAATATTTTAAACAGATTTTAAACTTCTGGTTGAGAGAATAATTTTTCTCCAGCAACTTCGCTATAAAAATTTTCATTTTTTGCCTCCAAGCCCGCCCTCACTTATCAATGGGGATGAAGTTCATGTACCTCCCCCTACGCACCTCTCTCCCTGTCCCTCCCCACCTAAATCAATCAGTCAATCAAACTAGATTTAATGGATTTCATCAGTTTTTCAACAAGTGACTCCACAAATTAACATTTAATTATGCAAAATTGAATAAAAACATACCATACGCCCTATTTTTAAAGACAGGTAACCCCAGTGTTCCTCAAATTTGGACAATAAAAACTTTTTAAAATTTAAATTCGATTATCTATTGTCAAGAAAGAAAAACGCTTAATTTTGTAACAATTATTAATTCATAATAATCATAAATGCAACAATTGTTAATTAGTTTGGGATAATTTGCTGAAAAATGCATGCATTTTTCTAATGGCGAAAAAATTTCTTAGAATTAGCCACATATTTAATATAGGTAGAAATAATTCTTTCGTTTACACATGAGTTTTTAATGAAAATTTTGTTTTTACTAGAAGAATAACGATTACCATACTATTAAATCAGTTTTTCATACAAGATACAAGAATAAAAAAAAAGTAATTGTAATTAATAAATGTATATAAACTTCAGAGTAAAAAGACATATGGCTATAAGTATATATTTGAGAAAATATGCTCAAAGTATATAGTTTTTATATAGCAATAATTTTTTTTTTTATTTAATTGTAAGCAGAAATACTTGTTACCTACCAATGGTGGAAGATGGGTTGCATACGAAGAGCTGATTTTCTCTATATTATTTTTGTTTTATTAAACTAATTCAAGCAATTATTTAAATCAATACAAATTATATTTTTTAATAAATTAAGATTATTTTTGAAATTGTTTCTTTTAGTATATGTTGTTCGGCTTTTGTTTTGACCACTATGTACACACATCATCACATTTCTATGTATCTATGCCTTTTATCTATGACTGACCAACGAATAACGAATCGCGCAGTTGATGTCAGCTGACTGTTGTCTTGTGACTTAGTTGTACAAGTCTTTCCTGGTGCAGCCCAAATTTTGTGTGTAAAAAGGAGTAAGTACCATTTAAAAAGTAATAAAAACTTTATATGTAATATAATTAAAACTTTGGATCCAATTTCTTTCGTTATATCATTAATTATATTATTTTTTCTTTAATTAAGTAAAACAACACAGTAATGCACTTATGCAGTCTCGTGACGTACAAATCTTAGCGAAAGATCAACCCATTTACTTAAATTTTAGTAGTTCTATCATATAATTATTAATAATGTCGTTATTTTTTTTTAATATTGTATACATTTATCGATTTGAAGAACTAATTATAATTAAAAAAAAAAAAGATAGAACAGTAGGCGTAGTCCGCTGTCGCTCTTGATAGTTTACGTTAAATATCTTAATAGGCTTCTTAATAAGTACTAAGTGAAATTAAAAAAAAAAAAAACAAAAACAAAATGTTATCAATTTGACATTAAGAAGATTTTTCTGAGTAAATTATGTTAAATCCTATGAGAATGGTAAAATGAATTGTGGATGGGTAAGTTATATCACATGCTTATTAATATTTGTTTGTTAAATGTAGATAGAGTCAATTGTTAAAAAGACAATGTCAAAGCTAATAAAAGTAGGAGATGTTGAAAAAGAGACCACCTATGGATATGTCCATGCCGTGTCTGGGCCAGGTAAAACTTAGTTTACAATATTTTTTTGAAAACATAAAAAATATTTGATCCCTTAGTCGTCACGGCCGAAAAGATGAGTGGTTCTGCTATGTACGAGTTGGTGAGAGTCGGTTACTATGAACTCGTAGGTGAAATTATTCGTCTGGAAGGTGATATGGCTACTATACAGGTAATTTTTGACAATATACTTATATAAGATTGATCAGTAACATTCGATTTTATTAAACTTTTTTGGTATATAACTTTGTTTGCTATATTGCCGGAAAATTAATAAAAGAATAAAAAACCCTTGCAAAATTTATAATAAATAGAGGTGTTTATTAATCTATTATTTATTTGATATGACAGGAACTTATAATTATTTTATTTTTTATTCCCAAAGGTATATGAAGAAACCTCAGGTGTCACTGTTGGTGACCCTGTGTTAAGAACCGGCAAGCCCTTATCAGTAGAATTAGGCCCAGGTATTATGGGTTCTATTTTTGATGGTATTCAGCGTCCTCTAAAAGATATTAACGAACTCACCCAAAGTATCTACATCCCTAAGGGTGTAAATATTCCTGCCCTTTCAAGAACGGCGTCATGGGAATTTAATCCATTGAACATCAAAGTATGTACATTGCAAAATAAAATTGATTACATATTAAATTTATTAACGGATTTGTTGATTGTTTTAGTTGGGTTCTCATATGACAGGGGGTGACCTTTATGGTATTGTACATGAAAATACTCTTGTGAAACATAAATTACTTTTACCACCACGGTCAAAAGGAACAGTTACATATATTGCATCTCCTGGAAATTATACAGTTGACGTAAGTCTTAGTTAAACTTATGTTTTATACCAAAATTATTTACAGTGAAAGTTGTTTGTTGATGTTCATAATTTTTTTATTACTAACTAAGCAAATAAATGAAGACAAAATTGATTTTTAGACACAGTTTTTAGTTGCTTATTTTGAAGGGTTCAAATCTCTGTGGCTTTATTATTTAACATTTTGAAAAGTATATTTCTTATATCTCATATGTAAGGTCTAAGAATAGTTAAATTTCCGTTTTAGTAATGGAAGTTAGAAAATTTACTACAAAATTATAGCAATTTTGTTATTTGTTATGGATTTTGAGAATGTTTTGAATATATTTTGGTTTTTATTAATTGCTTGGGTTTTTAAGAAGTACAGTATTTAATAATCTATCCCTTTGCTACTTTTTTGCGTGAGTTTTTTTAATTTAACACATTTAGTTTGGTCAGATAATTCACATTTTTTCCGAAGTCTGGTTTTAAATTTGTCGTTAAAAATGAAAGTAATTTTTGATATTTAATACTAACAAAATGCGAGCACATAAATTTTTTAATTTTGCGATCACTCAACAAAAAAATATTACGTGTTCATTTCCATAAATATAAAATTGTGATGCGATTTTTCAGTTTATTGTATTTTTATTTACTGATTTTCAAGAGTCTGGGGCAACTCTTCTATTTTACATATATGTATGAGCATGATATTTTTACACCATTTTTATAGTATTAACTGATGTGTGTATTATAATTATAATTTATATTTTAACTGTACAAATAATTTAAAAGCAATGATTATAATTTTTTTTAATTTTGATACGTTAAACAGGATGTAATCTTAGAAACTGAATTTGACGGAGAGCGTACAAAATATACCATGTTGCAAGTATGGCCGGTACGTCAGCCTCGACCAGTCGCTGAAAAGTTGCCTGCTAACCATCCTTTGCTTACTGGGCAACGTGTTTTAGACGCACTTTTCCCGTAAGTTTATTTTAAGTAAACCTGTTTTCACATAATTTGATTCATTTTATCTTAAAAGATTCACATATAAATGCTACATTGCTTTTTTATGTGCTATTTAAAAACTGTATTTTGTTTTTAATTTACAACTACTGATAGAATTGATTAAAACATAATTAAATTTTATTATTCTTACAGTTGTGTACAGGGTGGTACCACTGCCATCCCAGGAGCTTTTGGTTGTGGGAAAACTGTAATTTCTCAATCTCTGTCTAAATACTCCAATTCTGATGTCATCATTTATGTAGGATGTGGTGAAAGAGGTGAGTTTTTAAGTTTTTATGATTGGTAACTGAAGTAGATTCTGTTTCCATTCTTTTTTATTAAATATTAAAGAAAATTATTAAACAATTATAATATTTGTATTTAAGGTAACGAAATGTCTGAAGTATTGCGAGACTTCCCAGAATTGACAGTCGAAATAGAAGGGGCTACGGAATCCATCATGAAGCGTACTGCATTGGTGGCCAACACATCTAACATGCCTGTAGCTGCTCGAGAGGCTTCTATTTACACCGGTATCACACTTTCTGAATACTTCCGAGATATGGGTTACAACGTATCCATGATGGCTGACTCTACGTCTCGTTGGGCCGAAGCCTTAAGAGAAATTTCAGGTATGTAAGGATTTATTGAGAACTTCAAAAATAGGGGACCTAGTAATTCTGTACTGTTTGATACACAAATTTTAATTATGAAATAAATGAAAATTCAATTTCATGAATCCTAAAGCTACGAGTGTGCAAAAGTGCTCATTTTTATAGTGTTTTTTAAATTGCATTGAATACCTATTATTTCCATAAACAATATTAAATTGGTAAACTTTATTGCAAAATAAGATTAATAAGGTATGGATATTACACACTTCTTCAAATTTTTGCCACATAAATTATGATGCAAAATTAATCAAATAATGTAGCTATTGTAGGATATGCTTGCCCTAGGTTTTTTACTATTTTTACTAGGTAATGTCCCACTTTTGTAACTCCATAAGACGCGATGCGATGATTGACTATATTCGTTAAATATATGTTCATTGCTTTATTCAAATCTTACTAGCTATTATGAATAACATTTAGACAAAGTAATTTATCGAATTATGTATAGTAAATATACACAATGTCCAATCATTATGTATAATCGCTGTTTAATCACAATAGGTCGTTTGGCTGAAATGCCTGCCGATTCCGGTTATCCGGCCTATTTGGGTGCTCGCCTGGCTTCCTTCTACGAACGTGCCGGTCGCGTCAAGTGTCTTGGTAATCCAGACCGTGAAGGATCCGTATCGATTGTTGGTGCAGTATCTCCACCTGGCGGTGATTTCTCCGACCCTGTCACTTCCGCCACTTTAGGTATACTTTTGAAATTTAATGTAATTTAAAATAACTAATTCCAGAATATTTTCCAACCGAATCCTTAATGTTAAAATGTTAGTAATGATCACATTTTTTTATTGTTTGTAGGTATTGTACAGGTGTTCTGGGGGTTAGACAAAAAGCTTGCTCAACGTAAGCATTTCCCCTCCATTAACTGGCTTATCTCTTACTCAAAATACATCCGTGCTTTGGACGACTTTTATGACAAGAATTTTGCTGAATTCGTCCCTCTTAGAACAAAAGTGAAGGAAATTTTACAGGTAACGTAACAGTCCTATTTTTTTTTTATTGATTTTCACATAATATATACGTTATTTACTGCAATTTCAATCCAACTTTGAACAATTCACGTATGATATGAACAGTAAAGGCATTGATATGGCGGACGACCACATACAACTCATTTCAAAAGATTAAAGATATACCCTTTCCCTTTACCCCTAAATGCATCATGACAAAATTAAAACTATTTCCGTCTTGCTCAGACTTAGTGTGTATTCATTTTATTCGCGCAGGTTTTCTCATGGTCACATCTCTAACCGTTTGAAATAAGTTGTAAAACTTTTTCTGTTCCTCAGGAGTAGAATTTTTTTTTCTGGATAAAAGGTATCTATGTCCTTTTCTTTACTCTTGACAATGTGTTTACAAAATTTGATGATGATCGGTTGAATAGTTAAGGCGTGAAAGCGTAACAAACAATCTCACATTCGCATTTATACTATTAGTTAGGATAAAAATTTAATTAAAACTTCGAAATTATAAATAAATAAGAAACTATTTGCAAGCAATTAACACTTTTATAATCGTACTTTTAAAATAAATTTGTACTAAAATTTAACTTTTAATAACTGCTAAAAATTTTTTTATAATTCAAAAGCTTTGTGTACCTTACTATGCGAATTCTTTTTTTATATTACAGGAAGAAGAAGATTTATCCGAAATCGTCCAATTGGTCGGTAAAGCGTCTTTGGCTGAAACCGACAAGATCACTCTGGAAGTAGCTAAACTGCTCAAGGAAGATTTCTTGCAACAAAACTCTTACTCATCCTATGATCGTTTCTGTCCATTCTACAAGACAGTGGGCATGCTAAGAAATATGATAGGCTTTTACGACATGTCCCGACATGCCGTTGAAAGTACCGCACAATCAGACAACAAAATCACATGGAACATCATTAGGGACGCGATGGGTAACATCTTATATCAACTCAGCAGCATGAAATTCAAAGACCCAGTGAAAGATGGCGAAGCCAAGATCAAATCCGATTTCGACCAACTTTATGAGGATATGCAACAGACCTTTAGGAACTTGGAGGACTAAGTGACCTTCTCCAAAGGGGGTAACTACATAGTTAACGATTCCGCATGTTCCATTCTTTTTTTTTTCTTTTTGTTATTTCCTTGTACGTAGTAAAAAAGCTCTTCTTCGCAATTTTAATAATTAGTAAAGAAGGTATAAATAATAATAATTATTATCATGATATGATATTGTATCGTGTAAATAGATACATTTAGGTGATTATTTGGATCGCGCAAATGTCGCGATCTTTATCTGTATCATTCCATTTTAATGTTTTCCTTTTTTCCTTCAGTAGCGCAGCCCTGGGTTGTTTGAGTGTCGACTTTATTATTACAGTATTATTATTCGTACTTTACCAACAAAACGAACCAAAACAAAGGGCAGTAGTCAATGATTAATAAAAACAAAAATGATAATAATTAAAATGGCAACTACACATTATTGTATTTGTGCAATTGATGTTTAAAAAAGTTTTGGAATTTGTACATTTTTTTCTGTCATTGTACCATTTTTATCGAGTAAGTCATGTATATATATATATTATATTACAATATTATAATGTTGCTGATAAATAAAATATTTGTTGTCCAAATGTTTTCAAGAGCTAAAGTAATCCAAAATATATCCTATCGAAAACGGTTTAACGTAATATTTTTAAATTTAATACTCACATGCTCTACAAGAAAAATAACGTGTATTTAAAAAGTCATTAATACAAAATTTTCTTTTAATCAAAACGATATAACAAATAATCTTATTGAATCCTTCCAGAATACAAATAACGTAAATAATGTTAATCATATATTTCATGTTTAATGAGACGGGACATCTACAAATAATAAATAGCCAACTAGGTCTACAAACAAGAGGGTCAACAAAATATCGTACTATTGAAAGAAGAAAATCAATTTTGAAATGAGAATGAATGCAAAAAAGTACCAAGTAGCCAAATAAGTACAGGCGAACTACCCCTGCAATAGTTTACAAGTTCAACAAAAGGGTAAGTACATTAGTATTTTATTTTAATGGTTAACTTTTTAATCGTGAGCTTTTAATTAATTTTAACAAAAAGAAAAACTAGGCAAATAATATAAAAGTTGTATTTAATAGTTTATTTTTATTCAAATTAAACTACCCCTAAAGGAAACCTAATAACAATATTTATTGTAGTTAATAGATAAAAAACATCAATAAATAGCATATTTTCTTATACCATAAAATCTAAATTTCCAACATCATCGAACGGTTGCTGAGCATTTCCAGGAGTTCCTGGCATTCCCTGACCCATTGGTCGAGGGCCATTTCCTCCCATTCCTGGTTGCATTCCCATTATTTGCTGCCTATATTGAGGTTGCTTGACAAATAAATAATAATTAGGACTAGCAAAGAAATAGTAGAACGACAATGAACATAAATAGATATGTTATTTTAAAATTACCTGTTGTAAAAGATGCCTTAAACCAGGATTGTTTGTGTTCATAATTGGGCGCATCATTCTCTGCTGTTGAACGTTTGCGGCTTGGTTAGAAGTACCAGCCATTCTTTGTTGCTGAAACAAAAAAAAAATAAATAGCAGAATAATGCGTCAAAATATTAATTATGTAAACTATTAAAGGTAAAATAGTAGTTATAATTATTAGTTTCAACGGTAATAGTCAGCAAAAATTTGAAACCTATTTAATCTGTCACATTTCCATACTTGGTAATGGTCTTTGTAAAATATAAAAATGTTTTGTTACTTACATCCATCATCTTATACTGCATTTCTTGTTGTTGGGCAAGTTGAAGTGCTTCTTGTACATGTGACATCTTCATGTGACTGATCCTCTCCAGTTGACTCTTATATTGTTGCTCCTGCTGTTGAGCCGCCTCCAGAGTTTGTTTCAATTGATTGATTTTTTCTAAATTTTGTTGACGAGCCTGTTCTAAATTGCCATCAAATGGACCCCTTTGTAAGGGACCGCCCATCATACCGGTTGGATTACCAGATTGGCTTACTTGTACACCTGCACCTTGCATATTCTGAAACAAAATAATAATATAAACAGGTAACTAATACTTTCTACTTTATTATTTTTGTTGCTGTTATTACTTGTTTTCTTGTTAGAGAGTATAATTTTGTTTAAAATGCATAAACTTATCTACCTATACAATATACACTTACGACGTTTTGGGTTATTTGACCTCCTCCCATGGCCATTGTATTTGTTTGAGACATCATAAGGCCTTGTTGTGTACTAGCTGGATTAGATACGGGCATTTGGGGTGGAGTTCCCACTCCACTTCCCATACCTACATTCGCAGTACCGCTCTAAGGGATATATTAATAAACTGTAAGTTTTTCATACATCTACATATTAAATACATTATTTAATTAAAATGTGCATTGTGTAGAGAACATACAAAATCTAAATTTTTCTAACTTTTTAATGAAATTATGGTTTTCTGAAAAGATCGTAGACAAGTAATCTTGAACTGAAGCAAATTAGAATTGATTCATCACAAAAATATTGTGCTAGGCTAGTAATAATGGTTTCTAGTTAGACTTATTTATTTTTAAAAAACTCAAACATGATTCAACTATAATGCTACTATCGAAAAGCAAATAGTAACAGTAAAAGTAAACAAATACTAGTTTTTAATATCTAATCCATGAAAATAAATAAGTCTGTATAATTAAAAAAAGAAATAAAAAAGCGAACAACGTACATAATTAAGGTTTACCTGACGTATCATGTGCGTAGTCTTTTGTTGTTGTATCACTTTTCGCAGTCTATCAACAAAACCAACTTGATCATTGGGTATAAAGCCTAGATAGGCTCTTTTTTCTGGCGTGTACAACAGTATTAGAACCTTAATATCACATGATGCAGGATTAGGAACACTGGTAAAATGAACACATCCAGCCTATAAGAATAATAATTACAATTTAGTAACGATGAAGTTGTTGAAATTTTATTCAATGGAAGAATAATAATCGGTTGAAGAAATCAAACGATTATTCCATTCAATAATATATATATTTGAAAAACAGGAGACGTTGCTGATGGCTACTCAACTTTTTTAGTAATCCTCATTTAACTTGCCAGTCGTTTTACCTTTAAACTATTCTTCTCCTCTTAATTGTTAACGGTCATAATTTTTTTATTGTAGAATTCACGCTTTTATTTATGAATTAAAAATTTTATTGTATTGAAAATAACCCAAAAAATTTTTCGGGTCGAAACGTCTCCTGTTCTTCAAATATATATATTACTGAATGGAATAATCGTTTGATTTCTTCAAACAATTTAGTAAAGTTAATAAAAAAATAAAGTCATATAACTTACAAAGCCGTTAGTCATCATTTTCGTAAGAGATTCTAACGCGTCGCAATTCTGTGGATGGAAAATTACTGACTTCGAATTTTTTAAGTAACCGCCACCAATATTTCCAATCAACTGTTTGGGCATCAATTGTGTTATAAGTTTTGGGGGCCAACTATCTGCTTTTCTGAAATAAAAACAATCTTTGCAAGGGGATTTTGATTATACTACGCAATAATTCCTACATATTTTGTTTTTTTAGAGAAGAAGAGGTAGAAAACATCTAATTCTGTCCCAGTGTAGTTAATTATTTTACTTACAATTCTGGTTCTCCGTCTTTAGAACTAGCAGAGACCTGACACGGAACTTGTCTTGTAATTTTTTGAGTTTCACTTGAATTTTTCGGCTTTTCTAACCATTCCAATAGACCTTGCCAAATTGTATGTCTTTCCCTTCCAGTACCCATGGCAGGATTGGACTGTTGCGGAGTTGGCTATATTTAAAAAAAAAATTCATTCCAAAAATTGTAAACAATTTACAGCGTAAACTAGTTAAAAAGAAGAAAAATAATCATACATTAGAAGTCACTTTTTCGGAAAGAACAATTACTGTAGCCTTGTTACTCTTTCAGTATTATTTTTAAATATAAAAATATCACTTACTTGAGACTGGGTGGGCATAACTTGACTACTGGGCGTTACTTGGGGCGGGTTTGTCTGGGTTTGTGGCATTCCTGGAGTAGAAGTGATACCACCAGTCTGAACCATTCCGCTGTTTTGAACGTTTTGAGCAGCAATTGATGTCTGTACATTTTGTTGTGTAGGTTGATTTCCCATCATGTTAAGACGTAACTGTTGCGGCTGAGAATTCATACCAGCATTTGAAGCCACTAAAAACATACTTAAAGCTAAAACAAAAGTCTAACTACAAAATATTTACCATATATTAGTCGAAAAGTAAACTTACATTGTGAAAATTGATTGACATTCGCTGTGGGCATGGATGAAGGAGGTTGTGTTAATTGAGCAATAAGTGCGCTGCTTTGAGAAGTGGTTGGTTGTTGATTTTGGTTGGGTATAAACTGACTTCTCTGTTGAGCAGTTTGATGTGGCATAAGTGGCCATCTACCAGGCGGTCGACAAGGACCTGCCAAACCTGATTTAATCGAGTTTATAAGATTTTTTGCATAAAATACATAAGCTGCGAGCATAAAATTTGCTTACCTGAACCTGGATGGTATCCAGGAGGTGCTTGAATTGGCTGGTTAGAAAATTGCGGATTATTCATCATTCCACCGCGAACTGCATTTACCAAGTTCACATTAACCATATTAGCCGTTACTATAGATTGATTACTGTTTGTCAAAGGATTTATACCTTTAAAAATAATTAACAATTGTAATAATTTTGTTTAAATTGCTATATCTGTTAAAAGTTATTCCGAAAGTAATTATGGCAAATAATAAAGTACTATAAACTTTGTTTCTTTACTAGGTGATTTAATTAAGCGTCTACCTTGAGGATTAGTGGGTCGATAAACAGGATTCTGTCCAACACCACCCTGTACGCCTACTCCAGTGTTCATCGTCGAAGCCAAAATGTTTTGGTTAGCAGCCTGTGATGTAATTGGACTATCGGTGTTAGGTAAAGGACTGGGCAATGACGGAATCGCCATATTGGTAGAAGGCAGAGGTAAACCACTTGTTGAAACTGTTCCTGTTTGCGGTACTGGACTGACTGGTCGCTCCTTAAGACTATAACATTAAACAAATACTATATATGTAAACAAAATAAGACTCATTACTACTGCCTGATAGGACAATCCACCATTGCTCACCAATAATTATCACAAACACACTTCGACTAGCAGACATGTGCTTCACCCGCTTCTCATTTGGGAATTATCAACCCAAAAACGCACAAATATACAAACAACAATTTTAATAATAAATATTTTTAGATGCTTACCTAAACCCTCTAAGTAATACGAGATGCCTAGGATCTTTGGCGTAATTTTTCGATTGAAACGTTGTCAAATCCCCTCCAGCTTTTTCAAACAGTTTATATAAAGATGGAATTTTTCTTGGAGAAATTATTGATAAATTAATACCTCTCTAAAATTAAATTATTAGATTAACGCAACAAAATTTTTCAGAATTGTTATGTACAATGTCTGAATAATATTGAATAACATAGGATTAATAATTATTTATTAATTCTGAATTCAATTTCTTTAATGAAAATTTCAATTTCAAGACTAAAAAAAGTCGATTTTCATAATATTATTTAATGATTAACTCCAATTTGTACTTCATAAAAGTCACGAGTCAAATTAAAAATACCTCCAATAAATTAGCTGCAAGCTGCTCAGCTGTTTTTCCCACATAAGCATATGATTCCATAACTGGAAGAAGGTATGGAGGTGAGTTGCATACCAATATACAATGTTTCTGGACATTTGAAGTTGAAGAATCCCGTTTCTGCTGCAGCTCTTCAAAACACTGCAAGGCTGTAGCCAGACCTTCAGCAACATTTGCATGTGATTCTCCTTTACCTCCAATTAATCTTCAAACATTTTCATTTATTTATGCATTTTGCAACCAGGTTATAATAAATTAACAACAATCACAATATGAAAAAAGAAAATGTAATATCATACATGTTAACAACCAATGCAACTTCTGTAATCTCTAAAATATATATAAAGTTATGTGGCATGTAAAATACAAAACAGTGCATTTTAAATCATAACTTAATTATAATCAATTAGAATTACCACTCAAGATGATTTAAAAAAAGCTATTCAACTTACTCAAGCTTGTCCAATGCATTGAGAACTCTACTAGGAGTCAGGAATGGCCCAAATGTATCACTGCTTACTTGAGGTAAACAATCAGCAGCATAATATATCACAATTCCATAAACAGAATTGGCATTTTCTGTTAAATAGCTTGTTTCATCTAAATTTCCTTGACTGAAATATCTAAAGAAAGACTATGTATGTGAAAACAAAGTTAAAAGTTAACTAGAAGAAATATTTATTAATGTATCAGATTTATAGATTATCAATGTTAGCAAGGTTACACTAGTAAATCTAGTACCTCAAACTAACTCATTTATCCATTCTATCATCATTTTTGTACATACTAGTATTCTAATATAGCATTTTTTCTGGTGTTCCAGTGTATTGTTGAACTGCTAAGATCTGGAGTGCTAACTGAAGAGTAAATAAATAAAAAGAATGACTTACTCCAACGAAGGAATGATGTAGTTAGTTTTCAGATCGTTTATGTAGGCCCCATTTATGGCTGTACCTTCCACAACAAATACTATGTCTGCTTGAATATTGTGATCCGGAGGACAAACAACCATTTTCGCAGTTAAATGGTAATTATATTATAAAAATAATATATTAGTTAATTTATTTCTTTACATTTTTCTACTACTCCAAGTAAATTGTAAAAGAATGCACTATCCACTAATAGGCCCTCTGATTGATAAATCTATTAAAACATTAATTCCTCCAATCTTTAACTTAGACATTAAGGTTAGGTTGGTTCTATGGGTTAGTTAAAAATATGTATGGTTAAAAACGTCAAAAGCGTCAAAAGAAATCACAAATTTCGTAGTGTTTATGATATCAACAAGTATTAAATCCATGGACACGTAATGCGAAAAGAAAAACAGTAGTCATAGCAGCTGCAGGCAATAAAGTTAAGAATCTCGTACATGATTAAGAACGAAAGGAGAATATTAACATGAATAACATTGTTCTCTAATAAAAATTTAAAAGGTACTTTATACGAATAAGACCTTTGTTTGTTTTATTTCATTTTCTACATATTTAGTGTTAAGTATTAATATTAATTTCACATTCACGGATAAGGTAAAATAATACTTGGTGAATTATTGATATTTATTGATTATTAATAAGGATATATATTTGTAGCGTAGACACTATTTAGACACCATAGACAAGATTAGATTAGACACATTTTCATGATTCATATGACCATATGATTGTTGATTATTGTTGATCTATAATTGTTGATGGTAGATGTTTAATAGATCTTTGCATATACATCGTAAACAACAAAACAACAATTAATAAGTACTGAATAAGTACCCACTATCGTAGGCAATCATAAGTAAGAAAAGTATTATTGTTAGTTGTGCAGAAGTGTAAAGTAATCTATTATCCAAAATGATAATAACGTTATTTTATGACTAGTTCTACATTCATTACTACTTATAACTAATGAAAATTAAATTTTGTAATTAGTTTTTGTTATCTATGTTAGTGTAGAAATAGATTAAAATTAAAAAACTGTTTTTTCTTGTAACAGGTGATTGAAGAAGTTGTTGCATACAAAGTAAATCATGGCAACGGCAAATACCGATAAAATCGCAGAGAGACGTAGTCGAGTATATTTCTAATGAACTTTTAATTTCGTAATGTTAATGCAAAGCATAATTCTAGGTTTTATTAGGTCCTTTACCTGATGACTTTTTACGCATATCCATTTCACCACAACAACAACAAGAGGCTGCTGACAGACAAGCAGCACTGGCTTTACATCAGCAATATATTTCTGGTAGCCCTTACATAGCTAACACATTAGGTAGGCTAAGTATTACAGTTGCTCAAGCTAAATTAACTAAAAATTATGGCATGACTCGTATGGATCCATATGCTAGAATTCGTGTTGGACATTGTGTTTATGAAACTCATACTGATCCTAATGGTGGAAAGAATCCTCGATGGAATAAGGTTATTCAATGGTAGGTTTGAATGTTGAAAGGTATATTTTATTTACTAATATCTATTAATTTCAGTCTTTTACCTCAAGGAGTTAACACTATTTCTATAGAAATATATGATGAATGTTCATTTACAATGGATGAATTAATTGCATGGGCCACTATTACTATCCCCCAACAAGTGATGACAGGAGAAACTCATGAAGATTGGTATCCATTGAATGGAAAGCAAGGAGAAGGTGTGGAAGGAATGATTAATTTAGTACTTTCTTTTACAGTATGTGTTATTTTTTAGACGTATAATATTTTATATTTCAATATTAACAATTATTTATTTGCAGCCTACCCCTCAGTCTTACATTTATACACCTCCTCCAGTGATGATGGTTCCAACTGTTGGTAGTTCCAGAGTTGCAACACCTGTCACTGTGTATCCTGCACCAGCTGGGATTCAGAGACCACCTGTGCCTGTTTTAAGTGAACAAGAATATAAGCAGGTAATTTATAACTTTTTAAATTATGCTACCAATTATCTTCTGTTACTATTTCAATGAAACTATAGATTTTACTTGGTGATTGCAAGAGATTTGACTTTTAAATAATATTGAAATAACATTTCATAAATAAATATTGAAACTGAGAAGTAAATTAACAAATAAGATGTGTTTTGGTTGCTTGGCATTATTAGGACAAAAATAAGTTGGAACGTTGAATATCTGAAATGTATTGGAACACAGTTTAAGATTTACATAAGAGCACGCTCCTGTAATACGTTTCCGTTATATTCACAAAATTACTGCCAAATTCCACAAACTCGCTTACCAAGTGATATGATGTTACACATCAAAATGTATGTTTGTCGAACAAACAAAAGGTAGTAATCAGTTATATTTACAGATAGAGGAGATGTTTCCGAATATTGACAAAGAGGTAATTAAATCCGTATTTGAGGCTAACAACGGTAATAAAGATGGTACCATCAATTCACTTTTGCAAATGTGCGAATAAGTTGAAAATTAATTTTTCTCGTATATTGTTTTTGTTAAAGTTTGTTAATTTTACTTCTTTTGTTATTTTTAAGGTGCCAAAAATAACCATTATTTTATCTATTGTTAAAATACTTTAATTATTACATTATTTTTACTGTATCAATTCAATTTTAGAAAAGATAGAGAGATTAACAGTTAATATATAAAACGTATTTATCGTTAGATTTTTTGTAAACGAATTAGGACTGCTCATTATAAAATATTTCTATTTAAATTTGATGTTACAAGCTAACGTACATTAGAAATTCTAACTGTTATTATAGACTTCATAGCATTACGTTATATACGTATCGAATGAATGTTTTGTGATATTTTTTTTAAACGTATTAAAATTTTTTATGTAATCCCATAAAAACGTAAATGTAATAAATAAAAATTAACTTGCTACATCAAAGTCCCTGTTCATCGTGTAAAAATTGCAACTTGTTACTTGTATATCGTATCTCCTTCCGATTCATTTTGAATATCACCGGTGTAGATGATGAATTTTTAATTATTATTATAATTAATATAATAATAAACTTTTGATGTGGTCATTTACTATCTGAGTGATACAAAAAAATTAAAAGGAGGACATTAACTGCTATAAGATGATCCTTGTAAGTTGAAAGGTATTGGTTAAATTTAAAAGAACATATATTGCAATATTTTATTTTTTCTCTAAAATAACACACCAGTTCCCTTGATCATAATAACTATGTAACAGTTTACTGTTAAATTGTGCACACATGTTTTCTAGTTCACCTTCTTTGAAAACGTGATAATATCTCAGAAAAGTCTGTGACTCATCTGTACCTGTATTTAAACTTTTACCACTATTTTTCTTTAATTTCCAAGGCACCAAGACATCTTGATGTTTAAATTGAGTTCGATTGGTATGAATCGGTATTTCAACACCATCCACTAAAGTCAGTTTTTCATTACTAACAGCTTCATTTTCTTCACATCTCCTGTTTTTTCGATCTTGCTTCAAATAACTAGATTTTTCATTTCGATGTTTTTGTTCTTTTGCCCAAACATAAACCAGTACTCTACCGCCAGCCTTTAAAATTCGTAATAATTCTCGAATTGCCGAAAATCTTCTTTCCTGAAAATATACAATGTATTATATATAAGTACATAGGTTTGTTAGTTTTATATGAAGGATATGATTTAGCTCACCTCAGTTGATAAATGGTGAATCACTGCAATACTAATTGCACCGTCTGCTACATTATCAAGTAATGGTATTCTTAAGCAATTACCAAGTAATACTTGGTATTGCTTCTCTCTACACACATTTAATAGAGAAATACTTGTATCTAATCCAATCTGAAATAAGTTGCACTCTTATTAGTAGGTTTTAATAAGAGTTGTTTCAAAACCTATGAGCTTTGACCTTGAGGTGCGCAGAAATAATTTCGGCTGCTAAATTCCGCTATTGCTAAATGCAAACAGGCTAACCTCATGCGCATCTCAAAAGTTATGGGCTTTTGAAACACCTTCAGTATGATTTAATCAACTCATAATAAAAATTGACTAACTTTTCGAGAGACTGTAATGAAAATATTAATCGCAAAATTGAATGACAAGTTTGTTGTTACTTTGTAACTTTGAAGAAGTCAAAGTTTAGTAAAACTTGTAATACTTTTAATGAATATATTTTGTAAAAATCTTAGTTCATTCTTTGTTCTATAACTCATTTAAATTATAAAGAAGGTAATACTTGTTTTTCACTTTCTCGACAAAAGTAATAACTCACTTGAAAAATATTTTGACCACAGTTCATGTACTTTCCATTTCCGCAACCAACATCGACTAACAGGGACCCTGTTTCAAATGATTTAATAAAGTCTACAACATTTGGCCACGGTTTATGACGTGTCTCACTGAAATGCTGAGCTATATTTTCGTACACCTTGTGAACATGCGTTTCTTCTACACGCTCTGCTAATTGACCAAACGCAGTGTAAGACTTTTCATGTGTCCTTAGATATGAATCACATTTGCTGTGGAATTTACAACAGCATTTTCCGTTACGTACTTTTCTAAATGTAAATGAAACTCTGATAGCCCGATGAAAAACTGTTAAACCGGCCTTTGTTTGAAGAATGTCCAATTTTCTAGGAGTAATACCGTGAGTATAAGCGTAGCGAGATTCGCCAGACATTATGACAAACGATTTTTGTGGTATTAGTAAAGAATGGTGATCTCCGTTATCATTTTTAAAATCCATAACAATAGCTGATCCCAAAGACAATATAAAAATTGGATCTTCGAATGCACTGTGCGTATCAACATGCGAGGGAATCCCTTGACCCGGCTTATAGCAATTTACGGTCAATTGATCGGGTTCTACAAAAATTAACTGCGGATACGCAATTCTCAATCTTTCCCATAAAATGTCACACTCTTTTGGAATTTTTTCTTCTAATGGACAATTAAGATCTACATTATTTATGTCATATTTAAATTCGTATCCGTAATGTTTGACTTGTCTGTGTTTCAATGAGCTTCCTAATCGATTGAAGTCGTTTAATGCCAGGAAAGCCCGTTCCTCGCTATCAGTTATAAAATTTTCTAGTATTATTAATCCATTTGGAGGATCTGAATCATGTTTTAAATTTGCTTCGATTAAACTTTCTGGGATATTTTCGACAAATGATAAAAAGACTGGCTTTAAGTATTGCGCAATGTTAAGTACGCCGTTTATATTATTGAAAGCTTTCGTTGAACATTTAATGTCGTCAAATGAAACAAAGCAACATGATTTTCCTGGTAACATAAGAATTTGTTCTATTTTTCCATATTTTGAAAAATGTTCGTATACTACTTCTTCTGATAATCCATTTACCAACCCACTGTTGCAGATTCCTATGTGCTAAAAATCATGAAAGTCTAATAAATCTAATTGTAAGTATATGCTAATTGAGAGTGCTGAACTATTTCAGTTTTCAGCATGTATTCAGTTTAAAATCAGTTTATTGAACACGCCATTTTTCTCACGTTACGATCAAATTATAGTTAAATAATAAATAGTACATTAATGAAATTTTATAACAAATTAAAACTATTAGGAATGAGAAATGATTATGAACTTTAAACTTGCGAACAATAGTTGTATTGAGTTTTTTTTTTCAAATTATCAATACAATAATATTTCTCCCATAGAAAATAGGTATGTATCTGTCAACATACACATTTTTAATCATTTTCATGATTTCAAGAGATTTGATTCTCTCACCAATTGTTTATTCTAACTTTTATTGTAGAATGGTGGATAGTTTCAGAAAATAATAGTTTTTGCATACCTTTGTAGGAAATATAGTGCATTTTGCTCCAGTTTGTTTTGTTAACGTATGCTGATATTTACGTTGCTTTTTTTTACTCGGGGATGATAGACCTTCTGGACGTTTTTGAATAATATTTTCAGCCAGTTCCATTGCAATAACCACAACGGTAATGTTTATCAAATTTGTGAAAATGCTGCCTACCCGATATTTCACGAAAAAATAATTCAAAACGGCTATTGAGCTACAATTTTACCGATAGAAGAGCAAACGTGTGCATGTGTGCATTTATGAACATTTAAGAAAATGGCTGATACGTTAAATTCGGAAATTTGGAAAAACTGGGATAAAACTGGAAAGACTGAATTGTAAGTAAATTAAATGAGAAACTGTATATATATAACCTGCAGATTTGTAGAGTGTACTTCTTTCATCTTTTTCAGTACAAAAACGTGTGTGCAACTATTAAAAGATGAAAAATGTAGTCCTACATTTGATAAAAAGGGGAAATTCAGTAATCTTTCTGGATATATCAATGCCCTTATATCAAATGGAATCAAAGGAGTAATTAAAAGGGAAACCGTGATAACTATATTACAAGAACTTATTGTATGTAAAATACAAATTACTGATGCACATATTGCTTTGACATTGATTTTTTAGACTCTTCATAGCGATGTACCTTCATTAATATTAGATATTTTAAATGTAAGTGATGCGGAAACATCTGTGTTTGATGGACAAAAGGAAGAATCTAAAGAACGTCAGAATTTCTGTTACTTAGTTAAAGAATGTGAAAAGGTATTTTATAACTACATTATAATAATTGTGTAGGTGATATAAACTTTATTATTTAATTTACAGTTTTTATCAGACAAGCTGTTAAAAGAAAGGCTTGAAATTGATACCTTACAGGAAGTGGGTATCCTAAAAAATAGAAGCTTTTATACAAAATTTATCAAGGTCAAAACAAAACTATAGTAAGTAATATTATTAACTTGATATTTTTTTAGCATCCTGCGTAAATGAAACAAGTATTTTATTTTGTTTTCTTTTTAGTAAACTTGAGATTAACTTAATCCAGGTGCTCTTTTTTTCTAAAAAAATACTAAAATTACTAATAGCTTCACAAAGCACAATAACTTAGAAGTACTTTTTTGGTAAGGTACTTTTCAACAGTGCAAAAGCAAAATGTATTTAATAAACTCTTCTATTTTTTAAGTAGAAAGTAGAAGCTTTGAGGAATACGTACATATTTATTGAATATCTATGTATTAACCTAAAGGATGCTCACAAACATCAGTGGTTCTAACCTGAAAGTATTTTCATGTAAATTACAATTCGTACTAACAGAATTAGTTGACCATCACTGTGCTGTTTTGCTACACCTCTTGTGTACTTATGTACAGACTGCCCAAGTTCACTCAACTTAGCAAAATCTCATTGGAATTGTCTCGAACTTATCACTGTACTTTCAGCATTTCAGCTAATGCTCACATCTTACAGTTGTTTGTGTGTGCTGGTTTTTATTTCCGCGTTTTTCCAACGTTACTAAGTTGTACGATAAGCAGTAGACGCAAGGGAAACTGAAATCATCAACAAATCTCTTATTTTTTACATTTTTTACGGATAATTAATAACGCTTTCCATATTGATATGACGTGAAAAATATTCGTAAAACAATTGGCATTGCTATAATGCTATAAACTAAAATAATATGTTTAAATAGGATTTTTAAGTGATCATATTTTGAACTCTAGTATCCCAAAATATTTTTCTACATACTAAGACTATTGAAACAAATAAACAAGTACTGGTGAAAAATAAAAGGTACATGTGTCTATAAAGTTTAAAAACAATCGAAAAAGATCATTGTAACACATGATTAAAAGCATAAGGATGCTTCCCACAAATTGATGCACTTACTTTTCATAACTTTGTTATAGGTTTTTATATTGATTTCAGATATCACCGTCCTTAGATTAATGTGTACATGTGCACATATATCTATATATTACTTCAATTCAATAAATTATTAATATTTCTTTTTCTAAAGCTGTTGAATAAATAGTACTTAAAAGTTCAGAAAATATTATTAAATTGTTATTAGTTATACTCTCCAAATTTTTTTAAAAACGACAGGAACCCTATCCACTTTTACCTTGCCATTGTCTTAGGTTTTATTCGTTATTTCCTCTGTATTTTTATTTTGATAATTTATTTACTTTTAGTTATAAGCAGCGAAAATTTAACTTGTTTAGAGAAGAGAGTGAAGGCTTTGCTAAACTAATAACGGAGTTAAATCAAGAATTCAGCCAGAAAACATCACATACACAGTTATTAGATATAGTAAAATCATTAATTGGTAAATAAAAATTTACATATTGTGTTACATAGAAGTCTCATGAAAATGGTTTGCATTTTACAGGCTGTTTCAACTTAGATCCCAACAGGGTGTTAGATGTAATTCTAGAAAGTTTTGAAAACAAGCCTGAGGATTCAAAGATATTTATTCCTCTTGTTAAATCATACATGAATGACCCAAAAATAATTGCTGAAGTCTTGGGTTCAAAATACACGTTTTATCAAACTTCGGGAGATTCTACAGTTCCTAAAGCACTATACATACTGACAGCTCAACTGTTACAACATAACTTGGTATACTTAGATGACATATATGTCTGGGTAAGAAGTATTTAAATTTATGAACGATTTAGTTTTTTGGAAATAAAATTGGGTTTTTACATTTTTTCTGAATGCTTTTGTATAGTTGATGCATCCTATAATTACAATTTGTAATTCAGAAAAATGAAAAATAACAATTTGTTACTATAAACGTTTTGAATAAAATATTACATATTATAACTATTAACAATCCTTTATATAACTAAATAATTATTATTTATTTTTTACTCTATTGAATTATTTAATTGTATAAGAGTATGCAAATCTTGCATATTTTGTTTTTTTTTTTATTAAAGTATTTTCTCAGTGTTGGGAAAGTCTTTGTATCATACTGTTTAAAATACATTACGTGATTTCTCTAAATACTTTATACCGAAAAATTATTTTATTTTAACTGTTTAGTTAACTCCTGAAGACAGGATTATGCACAAAGAATGGGAAACGGACATGCGTGCTGCTAAAGAGTATGTAAGAAAATTGCAGGTAATATCATTAAACGCCAAAGAAAAGGAAGATACTCCCGACGAAAAAGAAAATTCTATTGATAAATATTCAAATAATCAGAAATTATGTCTTTGCGAAGCCCTGCTGGAAATAGGAGATTGGAACAATGCCGCCCTCATAATAAGACGCTTACCTGAACATTATGCCCTGGAATATCAACCTGTCGCAAAAGCGTTATGTAATCTCTTAAATTATATTATCGAACCGGTGTACAGAGAGTAAGTAAAAAGTATTTTTTTACACATTATTATTATTATTATTAAGATGTGATATGTGTAAGTTACCTGATGTTTATGAAATTATTAGATATTTATAACTTTTTGAAGTGAAAACTTCTAACGGCGTTGAGTGATTTTTGGTAAGGTCAATACACCACAGTCTCAAATTTCAAATTAATTTTAGTGATTTTAATTTACACATTATGAAATTTGAATTTGTGATACTATAGTAATTGGAAGATAAAAAAAACTGCTGATTTAAGAATATAAAAAATTAAATAAAAAAAAAATGACATCAGAACTATAAAGTGAAATAGTTTACTGAAAATATTAATCTGAAGAGATTATTGTATTATTTACATCAAATTATAAAAATAAAGTAAAAATATTTTTCAAATTCTGATACCAAAAGGTCTTCTTCGTGTATACCTATGTGAAGGGCATATACATGTTTATTGGTGAACATCAGTTATAGTTAATGCAAATGTTTTTTGTCTTTTAGAAATTGTAAGTTGGGTAACAAGATAAAAGGTAGACCCATACATCCACCAAAGACCCTTTCAAACTTGAAACTCGTCACCACTTTTCAAGAACTAGCTGACGTAGCATTCCCGATGTTAGTAACTCTAGGCCCTTCTTTGCGTTTCGATTCGGTTCTTATGTACAAAATAATTCGTGTGTGTCGTGCGGTATTGGCATCATATGGGATTGATAACGCCCACTGTTCACCTCCAGAAGGTGCTACCCTTTATCACGATATTATAACTCTCCTCGATTCAACCGTATTACCTGCATTATCGTACCTTGATTGTAATTGTTGCGTTGCTGAAGAAATATGGAACATATTGAAATTGTATCCATACACAATTCGATATTGCCTGTACAGTCGATGGAAAAATGAGACTTACGCCCTGTATCCGGAATTGTTAAGGAAACGAGGTGATGCTGAGAAACAGATCAAGAACATCATGAAACGGGTTAGCAAAGAAAATGTAAAACCCGTGGGAAGGCATATCGGGAAATTAACGCACAGTTCGCCGGGTTTCCTCTTTGATTACGTTCTTTTACAAATACAAGTCTACGATAATTTAATACATCCCGTTGTCGATTCTTTAAAATACTTGACCAGCCTCTCATATGACGTGTTGGGCTTCTGTTTGATAGAGTCATTATCAAACGCAGACAAAAAGAGAGTTAAGCACGATAGCACATCTATATCAAATTGGCTGCAGTCATTGTCTAGTTTTTGTGGTGCTGTGTTCAAGAAATACAATATAGAACTGACGGGACTGTTGCAATATGTAGCTAATCAACTAAAAGCACAAAAAAGGTTGGTACTGGAATCATGAATGAAAAATTAATGTGATCGTTTATGTGGACTTTTTTAGCTTGGATCTGCTTATATTAAAAGAAATCGTACAGAAGATGGCGGGTGTCGAAGCGGCAGAAGATTTAACTATAGATCAGCTCAATGCTATGGCCGGTGGAGAATTACTGAAAGCGGAGGTGAGATTTACACGAATTTATATTAAACGTATTAAAAATAAATGTTCCATTATTATATGTTTCTTCGAATTTTAGGCCGGCAATTTTAGTCAAGTTCGTAATACCAAAAAATCATCTTTGCGTTTAAAGGAAGCAATGTCTGATCAAAATCTCGCAGTCGCATTGTGTTTATTGATGGCGCAACAGAAATACTGTATTGTATACAAAGAGACACAAAAGAGTCACTTGAAATTAGTCGGCAAATTGTCCGATCAGTGTCAGGATACTTTAGTTCAATTTGGCACATTTTTGGGTTCTACTTTATCCGTGGACGAATACGTCAACAAACTACCTTCTATACAAAGTATGCTTCTCGATTATCACATACCTAACGAAGTGGCGTTTTTCCTGGCTAGACCGATGTTTAATCACGCCATCAACGTAAGTCTTTTATAACTATGGGTGTGATAAAAGTTGAAATTTTGGTATAAGTTGGCTGTTAATCTTCCATGTTTTCATATATTTTTAATGATCGATTATCTCTTATTTTTGACTATGCCATTTCTTTTCTCTTAGATAAAATATGATCAATTACGAAAAACAGATGGTAACTATAAAAAATTTTCTACTCAAGCCAGACATCAAAAGTACATCGAAGCTGTGAAAGAAATAATGGAGCCGATTCATAAATCGGTCATTCCGTTACACCCAGCTAAGGTTTGGGAGGATATTTCTCCTCAGTTTCTCACCACTTTCTGGTCTCTTACCATGTATGATCTATATGTTCCTGAAGAGACGTATCAACAAGTAATCAACAAGATTAAGCAACAGTCACTATCAATTCTCGACAGTAATACGACCAAAGGTAAAAAGGAACAAGAACGTTACATAACGTTAATGGAAAAGCTACAAGAGGAGAAGAAAAAGCAACATGAGCATGTAGATAAAGTTTTACACAGACTGATGCAAGAGAAGGACTCGTGGTTCTTGTCGAAGTCTGTTAAATCAGCCAAAAACGAAACAATTACTAGATTCCTACAGTTATGTTTATTTCCTCGTTGTACATTTACCGCAGTGGACGCTATTTATTGCGCCAAATTTGTTCATACGATTCACATGCTGAAGACTGCAAATTTTTCAACTCTGCTGTGCTACGATAGGGTAAGTGATACTTTTTAAAATATGAAAAATTTAGGAAAATGAAAAAATTAAAAAAAGATCTAAATTTAAGGTGTTATACCAAATACACTGGTTTACATTAATTATTTATCTGTTTGCTTTTAAATTGTTTCAATTGTTTAGCGTAGAACGTAATAAGCATAAAGATACCAAAACAAATTGTTAGAAAAAATACCTTGTTCTTTAAAATGGATTTTTGGAAATGCATTACATCGTCAATAAAATAAAAAAAAAACAACAATATTCCAATAAATAAAAGTATGTATAAAGTAGTCTTGTCACTTGGTACCAAATATTTACTTGTATCATGAAATCAAATAATATTTTTGTTAATATTAAGTGTATTAATGTTATTGACTTAACATTTTTTTATATTAGTTATTCTGCGACGTCACATACTCCGTAACATCCTGTACTGAGAACGAAGCAATGAGATACGGTCGATTTTTGTACGCAATGTTGGAGACAGTTATGCACTGGCATAAATCGAAGGAAGTTTTTGAAAAAGAATGCGCCAATTATCCCGGCTTTGTGACGAAATTTCGTGTTAGTAATCAATATTCTGACAACTTAGACAAGGTTTGTTACGAAAATTTCCGACACGTGTGCCACAAGTGGCATTTTAAGCTTGCAAAAGCACTTATCATATGCCTTGAATCTAAAGATTATGTACAAATCCGAAATGCTCTAATCATCTTGATTAAGATTATTCCATTCTTCCCCGTATTGTCAAAACTTAGTCAAGTAATTGAAAAGAAAATGGAAAAAGTTCGAGACGAAGAAAAGAATAAGCGGCAGGATTTGTTTACTCTCGCTACGAGTTATTTAGGTCAATTGAAACAAAGAATCGCTGGCGGACACATGATGAAGGAAAGCGACTTCCATCAAATTCCCGAAAAAGAAAAAGTTAGTAAATTTTAATTAAACTAAATAGAATTCATCGATACTTATTGCTTTATTTTTTATCAGGTATCCAAAAGTCATTCTGACGGTTCTAAATCTGAAAATAAGCACAACGGAGAAGTGAAAAGTAAGTTCAGTTTTATACCGGTTTTTTTATTATTAGTATTATTTTTCATTTAGTTATAGAAACGGACGATTCAAAAGAAAATTCATCCAGAAGTTCCAAGGACAGGTCAGAAAGTAAAAGAAATCGCCCAAATGTAGAAGATATTTCAAAATCTTCATCAAAACAACAAATATCATCTGCTAATAATTCAGAAACTAATTTGTAAGAAAAAATTACTCTTATTATAAAAATTGAAATATTTTACATTTAATTTCGTTTGAAGGACAAAAGACAAAAATTCAGATAAAGAAAGGACTCCAAAAGAAGATAGTAAAGATAAGCATTCCAGAAAAGAAGAAAAGAGAGACGAGATGGAGAGGGATCGTGATAGAGGAGGAGACCGTGAAAAAGATCGAGATCGTGAAAAGCGTAAAGAAAGGAAAGAGGAAAAAATATCTATTAAAGATGATAGGTCGTACAGGGTAAGTTTTTTATTACTTTTTTATAACGTTAATTAAGGAAGTTAAATGAAATTAGGAGGATCGTTTTATTGAAATGGTCAGTCCAAAAGAGGATATTCGATACTCGACTGATGGAGATCGATATTACGACGATCGTGGAACTAGCCATTATTACCATGATATCCGTGAGGACAGAGAAATAGGTGTCAGTAATTCAAATAGTTCGAGTGTGAGGCAGAGCCAGGAGACAGTGGAACCCGACAGAGGTCAGTAATAACATTCTTACCTAGCTATTATATCCGCATTCATTATCAGGTTTCCTATTTTTTAACTTTTCACAGGTAGTATTAGTGAATAATTATATTTTATACCATGAAATAGACTTTCAAGTCCCCCAGTTTCATTGTGTTTATTGTAAACGAATCACTTTTCTGTGGGTGATTAAAGTGGTTCCTTGTAATTTTTTTGTTTTTTCATAGACGTTAAACGAAGAAAAATGGACACCACATCCTCGAAGGTTAGTATTGGAGTGAGATAGCATCGCTGCATCTTTTAGGGTCCCCTCCCCGTGTTCCTCTTCAACTTTCTACTACATACACTATCCGGCGTTGTTGAGAAAAAAAATCAAAAAACCACCTTGGGAGATTGGGCTGAACTGAGTCTCTTTAAAAATAGAAAATAAAAGCTTAGTCGTGTTTTAAAGGAAAAGTGCTTCAAATGATAAGAGACTTGGCTAATGTGTTATTGAACTGTCATCGCGTTCTAAATTTATGTGCTTTTATGTTGTTCAACCGCGCGCTTCTACGTTTTGTTTTCTTTTATGTTATCGCGATATTTTATTTTTCTTCGTTTATTTGTCGAAGAAGATGGAAGAGTTTGGAAATATCATCATTCATTGGTTGTTTCGGATCTTAGAAAAATCTTCAGCACAGTTATTAATTTTAAAATCACCTTTAAAAAATTGGGATCCAAATATTAATCAAAGAGAATAATCATCATCGTACTTGAAGTACAGTAAACGATCGATCCTACCCATAAATCATTTATGGATCACATTAAAATTGCTACTACCTATTTTGTGGATTTGGAATTTAAAAAAACTAATATATCATGTGGAAAATGAAGGATGGCACTGCTATTATAAAACAAGAAATATTTTTAAAACCAAAATCTGTGGACTGACGGAACAGATATTTATCAAAAGATGAAATAAAATTGAAAAATGGTATTTGGAATAATGAAAAGAATACATTCCGTGCCCATGCAGATGCTTTGAAATTGCAGCATTGTATTCCGGATTTCGTTATGATATAATATCCAATATTTTCCTGTTGCTGTTACCAATTTCCATTATGACGCCAAAAGTTGCCAATTTCCATTATAACGTCAAATTAGAAATTAAGGAGTGTTATTGTATAACTTGGAACGAGAAGGAAGTCATGATTAAAAGCCGTCCAACTTGTCCATTCCGAGAAGTTTTTGATGCGTTTATCTTTCATCTTGAGTCCATTCATCAGCAGAAATGATGGAACTATGGAAGAAGATTAGCTACCGAAGATACCTCGATTATTGTGACGAATCTCTGAAGATATATGCGGGGTTTCGTGCGATTTGTTTAAAAGACCAATAGTGTTAAAAAGATTATCAGCCCAATCTTCCACTTTTGTTTTGGTATGGGGTGGGATCAAATGCAGGTAAGTAATTAGATTAAGAGTATGTTAGGAAAGCCGAAGTGGATGAAAGATTATTGAAATTGAAAAAATATTTTACGGCACAATTGTGGGTCAATTATGCAATACTGTTTTTGCATTTTATCATTACAAAATATTTATTTTTTATCCATATTTTTGCAAGACTTGCCTAGTAAACTAGTTTATTATTTATATTACAATAGATATGTCGGAATTGAAATAAAATTTTACATAGGCTTAATAAATGAAAATACATGCGTACAGGTGCAATTATATAAAAAGAGAAAAAACTTATGACAGCTCAAATTTTGTGAAGAATAGTGCATATATATTTCTGAAAAAACCAAAAATTATCAACATTTAAAGAATAATAGAATGAAAAGGCTCGTCGAAATCAAAAATGAACATTTACTTATTTGAAACAAGGTGCCTCTTTTTATCCTTCATCTTGATTTTAAAAAGTTGTTTTAATAATTACTATTTACTTTTTGTAGTACTTTTTTTTAAAAAATTATTTTTTTATACTTATCTAATTGGCATATCTAGTTTAAAAAGTAAAATCAATAATAACATTTTTCATAAAATAATACCGCTGTTATTTTATCTTATAGAATCATACAAAGTTTGTTAATTGACTGATTTCAAAATATATTTGTTACTGAAAATAATTACTTTAATTACCAAATTTATTAAATAATTGAAGTTAATCCCTCTTGTATTCGAAATGCTGAAAAATTATAGATACTTTTAATAAAAGGATGAATTAGTGGGGCCATTTATTATCAAATTGCAGCAAAGTCAAAATTAATTAAATAAGTAGAAATTAATGTTCATTGTTGATTTAGTTATCGATTACTAAATATATTAAAAAGAGTATAAATGTTTCTTTTGATGAAATGCTGGAGTTAGGCCGATTAGGTTAATAAACGAAGGCAAGTCACAAATTGGTGGCTGGAGGCGTAGCAGCTGGACAGCGCACCTGTGCCCTGTACCTGCTAGCCCCGCTTTCCTTCCTAATGCTGTGCCCTGGTTGTCTGCAGAGCTCTAAGTATGAAGAACGCAAAGTGCAACAGCAATCGGCCGATTATTACATTGACAAACCCGATAAAAAGGAGCGATCGTCTAAGACCAAAGAGAAACGCGAGAAGATGAGCGACGAAGAGAAGGAATTGCGAAAGGAACGAAAAATTGGGCGTAAAAGGGTAAAACATAAGTTTCTGATTCATTTGATTATTTTAAACACATTGCAAAGAAAAGTTTTTAACTTGGTATATTTGGTAATACTATCACAAAAAAAAATTATTAGATAATTACATGTATGTGGTTAATTAAAGATATAATTATTTGCTTATTATCGTAGGATCGTACGGAGGAAGCATTAAATCAAGCTGCAGAAATGAAAAGAAGAAGGGAAGAGGAAAAAGGCAAGTAAATAATGTAAATACTGATGTAATAGGAAGCAAACATTACTGTCAAAAAAAAAAATGTTTTTTTTTTGTTTACTTTCATTATACTGCCTTAAAAATCAATATTTCGCCGTTACGATGTATTTAGTACTTTTCCATTTGTATTAGCAGAAAAGATATTCTTTTTATTTGTATATTCACTCTGGTTAAATGCATGGTTCAATGTTATGTATTGTGCGCATTCCGTAAATCTTGAACTGTTAAGTATAGTTTCATTAGCAAGAGTTAGAGTTAGCTAACCCAATACTAAGAAAAGCTATTTTGAAAAACTAAGAAATTCCCAGAAACAAACAAGAATTTATCACTTTAAAATTTTCATTACTGTTTTATGTATTTGTTATAGTCTTTTTAATGAGTATGTGTTTATGTTTTTGTATGTTTATTTTCTTATTATAGATAAACAGACATTCGTTAACGTGAACAAATCTATAATGTGAACAGGTGTTTTTTGCTCACTTTATCGAGGTTTAGTGTATTATATATCTTAATGTTTTTGATGTTTTTTGTTATCTATAGTTGCTTTTTCTTTTCAGCTGCAAAATTGCTTTCTCATTCCAATGGCGAATATTTGGAGACGTCACCTCATCCACGGGAAAAGCACCATCATACTAGAGTAATTTTAACAATGTTGGGTTTAAGTAAACATTTATTAATGAATTTATTCTCTTTCTCTAGGAAAAGTCCCCTTATCTCAGAGAACGTGAGAGGTCACATGATAGGGTGGAGGTACGAGATAAACAATATCCTTTTAAAACATTATGTACTGGTTCACTACAAACTTTTTTCTACACTAACAGATAATTATCTGGAAACAAAAACGTATGGATTATTTTCTTACATACTCATTCTAAACTTCTGTTAATAACTTACAGCTTTTTACATAAGTCTGTAGGTACATATGCAACACCAAATTGTAGTTAACGTCTAGAACCCAGGTTATTCTCCGCCCTTCTGTATCCCTGTATCTGTTTTTAATATGTTTCTAACTAGCTCTTCATGTTTCAGAAGTTGTATCATCCTACTATCCCTTCTTTTGCTTACTGTATGACACATCTCCGCATTTGAAATAACTTCTTTTTATTTTATTTTGTTAAAACCGTTTCTATCCTACGATATTCTTATTATACGTCTCTATCGCTTTTCCTTCCTCTTTTTTATCAAATTTTAAGTGATTGTTCATGAAAGTTTTACCTACCAAGTCGATCATTGTTGAAAATTTTTAATTTTCACCTAACATTTTCTAGATATTGTAATGCTAATAATTCCATTTGGTAAATTTCTTTTATAACGCTTTTTAACTGCCATAAATAAAAACAAAGTAGTGAGTTACGCTTGGATTTAAAGAAATGTTGTCCGATACATTATAAAAACAATGACCACTAAGAACATCTTAATTATTTACATTATAAAAATGTTTTCCTTAATGATACATACCAGACGTGGAACGGAGGGTAAAAGAAGATGATTAAAAGCCGTATTTACACAGTAATTAATAATAATGATGATGTTGTGTCCTCAGTTTTAATTTTAAATAATTTTGGAGTCGCCCAATTCTGTATTAAGGCTTAAAACAATTGTTGGAAATATTGTTTTTTATTCCTTTTTAAGAAAAGTAAACTGGATTTTGTTGTACAAACACTGGCATTGGTCAGTTTTAATATATAGTAATACATAGTATAAATTTCTTAAAATTATATTTTTTCATGTAAGAAAAAATAGATCTTCGAACTTATTAAACAGTTCTTTGTAATTAATAAATGCGGCAAAATAAAAAACCTTTTTTTTTCTAAGAAGTGCATTGTATTTGACGTGACTAGTACAAGTTGCGGTATAAAATTGCATCTTAATTTTATTAATTCAAACACATATGGTTAACCTAACTATCACACTTTACATGTATGCATTTACCCGATAAATAATAGTATGTTTTATAATACTACATCTTAAAAAATTTAACAGTTTTTAAAAGTTGTAATACATATTTTTAATGTGTAAGCGACTTTATTGCAGGTAATTTGAGGAAGGCTGTGTAATCTTGTATTTATTTACAACTTAAATATTAATTATTTTGATAACGATCTTTGTATAATTATATACAACAAAAATGTAATTACTATACATCAGATACAAAATATTAGTTTATGGGTCCACATACAACAATATTAATGATCATACAACAAAAATATTGAAAGGACTAAAATTTTCGTTACAAAAATTTATATACACGACTGGCATAGCACTTGTATTTAATTACATTACTATTATTAGTTTTCTAAATAATTAATATAATCCCAGGGTGGTCCTTATTATAGCAAATAAAAAATATATATATTCTTCAAGTTTCATGTACCAATCGTAATATGAACTGGTACCAACTTGCAGTGTAAGTTTTCAGTTATCAATTTTTTATTCTAGTCAAAATAAATGCTCAACAAATTTGAAACTTGTCAGACCTTATACAATTTTTACAGATTTTTTACTATTATAAATGTAATTAAA